AGCACTGTCTGCAATGTCAAAGCAGCAGAGATCACAAACACATGGAAATCATGTTAGCTTCTGGGATGATTCTACCCCAGCCTAGACTCCCACCTGTGAGGGACCTATATCCTTCCTGGACTTCAGAGGGCTGACAGTGGCTGAGCTCTCCATCAGAGCATCTGATGTTCATTACCTCATTTGGTCCTTGCTGCCACACTGGAAAGGAGACATTTCCCCCCTGGCCCAGAAGAGCAAAACCAGCCCAAGTCCCATAAACCACCCATCTGCCCAAGAACAGGGCAAATGCCTCAACCTGGCCTCCTGCTCAATGTGGCTCCAGGCCCAAGCTGGCTGAAAACATTTCTGGTGTGACCCCACTCGGGGGATCTGGGGATAAATACATTTTTGGGAGGAACTCGAGAAATCCAAACCCTTCCAGATCCAAATGATGTGGAATATATTCGTGCTATGCCCAACAAAATCCTCTTTCTCCTTCACAGCTCCTGGAAGGCTTCCTGATTCCCCTCCCAGAGGGGTCAGTGTCTTTCTGTTCACACCCCCCATTTGCACTTAGCACTGAGCCTTGCTCCCCTTAGTTACCTGAGGGTGTGGGCCTCAGCAACGTGGCACATACTCTCACACCCTAGAGTGGCAATCAGCCTTCCAGGGGTAGAGTTCAAATGTTCCTACCTCTCATTCAAAGGGACTTGATAGGAGCAGCATGGTGAATGGTAACAAACAACAGCTTGGACATCAAATGCAACTGAGTTTATCAGGGCATAGTAGCATACACCTGGAATTTCAGCACTCAGGAGACTAGTGCAGAGGTCATGAGTTTGAAACCAGTCTGGGCTATGACAGAAAGACCCTACCTGAAAACAACAACAGCTAAAGAAATTATGCTGACACTTGCTGTGCGGCCTTTGGCACATTTCTGGTTTCTCTGGACCTGTTCTGTCTCTGTACTGCAGATACAGGTAGAAAATGCGCTTTTGACACTTTTGTTATTTTTTGTTATTGTTGTTGTTAGGCTTGAGCTCAACTCCTGGGTGCTGTCCCTGAGCTCTTTTTTTTTTTTTTTTGCTCAAGGCTGGCATTTTACCACTTTGAGCCACAGCTCCACTTCTGGATTTTGAGTGGTTGATTGGAGATAAGAGTCTCATGGGGACTTTTCTGTATGGGGTGACTTCAAATCATGATCCTCAGATCTCAGCCTCCTGAGTAACTAGAATTAAGTCATGAGCCACCAACACTCAGCCACAGTCATGCTTTGGAGGAAGGATTAGCAGTCAGGTTGGTTAACAGGCACTTGATAAATAGTGGCTAGTGGGGTGGGAAGGTAGCTCAGTGGTAGAGCACTTGCCTTGAATGCCTGAGGCCCTGGGTTCGATTCCTCAGCACCACATAAGCAAAAAGAAAAAAGCCGGAAGTGGCGCTGTGGCTCAAGTGGTAGAGCACTAGCCTTGAGCTGAAGAGCTGAGGGACAGTGCCCAGGCCCAGAGTTCAGGCCCCACGACCGGACCTAAAAAAATAAATAGTGGCTAGTATTGGGTATGATGGTCAATGCTAGCTACCTTCTTGGCTTGCTGCCCCTAGGATTGAAGAGAGGGGAGCAGAGCTCTCTCTTAAAGAGATCACCTGCTCTAATTTTACAGTTGAGTAACCCAATATCTTTGTGAAAGTTGCTGGGTTCTAGAGCCTTCCATGGAGGCAGAGGCCCAGGCTATGATGAAATGGTATCCCCTGCCCCTGCACTCTTGCCTTCACTTCTTTTCTACATTTTGGACCCTTCTTTCTCCTCACTTTTTAATTTTATATAGGGATGTGTGTTTGTATGTGTATTTCTAACCCCTTCCTACCAGAAATTTATGTTTGATATTAGGTGTCTACTAGCTGTTGAGAGGGGTGTGTGTGTGCGCGCATGTGTTTAATTTTTTCCCCTTTGTGTATGTTATTCTTGGAGACAAACTGCCCTGGTTTGGGCTCAGGAAGGGGGGAGGGGTGTGGCATCCCCCTTGGGACTCTGCTGTCTGCCTGCCCAACAGGGCATGGGAATCTCAGGGTCATCAGGCAAAGTTCCCAAAGCACAGGACAGAGGTGCTTCTTCCCAAAGAGACAATAAACCCGTGAGTGGCAGCCTTCCCCCCCCCACGGCTGACCACAGCTCACCCCTCTTGGCCTCCACTCCCAGGTTAATCTCCTGCCTAGAAAAACAACTCTGAGCTACCATGGTTACATCCTTTCCTCCAAGAGTGGAAACAAGACCACAAAGCAAGACACAGTAAGAATCGCTGCTAGGCAGGCCAGCCTTCAAATCCAGGGTCACCAGGGTTTGTTGCCCACTTCCCAAACTCATGGTCATGATATGGCCATCCAATGGCACAGAGGAAGAGCCCAGAGAGTTGGAAATGTCTTCTAAAATCACAGCTCCAGTCACCTGATTCTAGATCCTAACTACCCATGCTTTGTTCCTCAGGCGCTTGGCCAACACACATCATAGACTGAGTCACTGAGCACCAACACACAGGCACACAGGCGCCTCTGTTTAAGAAGGCAGAGAGAAATGCTTAAGGAAGGTGGGAATTTCCCCTCAGAAACATTTGGAGACATTATTTATTTAGACATTACTATCTTTAAAGAGTAAGTACTCAGCAAACAAGAAAATGGGGCTGTCCATAAAGAACTAATTTCCCCAGGTCAGATTGATCTTGGTTTTCTACCTAACAGTGGAAGGGCAATTTACTCACAATGTTTTCAAAAGAGAAAACCCCCTCTGAGGTCAAAACCCTGCTTCCTCTAGGCTGACTTTGGGGAAATTGGGAAAGATTGTCACTTCTTCAATGAATTTACTATCTACTAAAATGTATTTGTAATAACATGGACTGAGACATTTAACTGCCATCTGTCAGTAAACTGTCATGATAAAAATCAGAGATGTGTGATGTCTGGGAAGTGAACAGTACCCTTCTACCAGTTACTATTTCAGTATAACAAACAACTTTAGAGCTGATTGGCGCAAAGCCATTGTAAACATTGTCCCACAGCTACTGTGGAGGAAGAACTTCAGGAGAAGCTGAGCTGAATAGCTTTAGTTCCAAGTTATTCATGAGATGGCCATCAAGCTGTCAACTGAGGTTGTCATTATTAGAAGGTCTTCTGGGGCCTTAAGGGCCACCCTCAACATAGATCACCCACCAATTGGAAAATGGCTGTTGGCTGTTAATAGGAAGCCTCAGACTCATGCTGTATGACCTGCTCCATAGGGACGCTTGAGCATCCTACCAATATGGCTGCCAGCTTCCTAGAATGAGTGATCCAAGAGAGAGCAAAGCTGAAATAGTGAAGGTGATTCTGCTTCAGATGTCATATGTCATCATTTCCACAAATCTTATTGGCTACACATCTGTACTGTGTATGTGGGAGAACACACAAAGGTATGAAATCTTGCCATTACCAAGAGACAGGAATCACTGGCAGCCATCTTCGAATGTGATACCACAGCCCCCTTAGATGGAGTACCATTGTAAACAACCTGCACAACCGTGATTTCCAAGCTGAATACAGCCATCATCACAGATGTTCACTGGCTCTGTGCTAGCACTGTGCTGAGCATTTGATGGTAGCATCTGCCCTCAAGCAGCTTAGGGAACCTAACAGAGATATCCAAGCCCACATAAAGACATAAAGATGGCCAAACTCAGCTGTTCAAAAGACCAAAATCTGCTGGGTTCCAGTGGTTCACGCCTGTAATTCTTAGCTATTCAGAAGGCTGAGTAGCTAGGATTAGGAGAACTGAGAACTTCCTGGATAGGTGGGATTGCCTCAGGACAATCCAGGCTGTTCTGTGATGGAAGGGAAGTATGGCAATGGGTGTTCGCAGCACCCCGTGTACTTTCCAACTCCCTGGGGTTCCCTGCTCTCAACAGGCACTTTTCTCACCTCCTTTGTCCTCTGCCTTCCCAGTGCTAAAACTTCAGAAGATGGCAGTGTGAGTGTCCCCAGAGCTCCTCCCACTGGCACAGGAGTGTGCAGTTTTTCTCTTTCTTTGCTCCGTTTTAGCTGCCCACAGAGAAGGGTCAGGCCTTTGCTAGGATTTATTCATGGGCCATATTGAGGCTTTGCCTGAGAAGTAGGTCCAATTATTTTGTCCTGGTTGGAAACATTAACCAAATATTCAATAGCTCATGGAATTTAGTGAGTACTTTAATAAACATGAAAGACAAAATTGTACGAGTACATTTTCACACCATTGTAATGTCAAAAAATCCTAAATCAGACCATCACAAGTCAGGGACCATCGACAATAACCGAGCATCTCAGAAGCATCTTCTCTTGAGGGCTTATATATCTGTGTGACTAATGGAACACAGACATGATAAATTAATTAACCATGTATTTGTATCTATTAAATTTAAATAAGTGAAACAGCTCACCGATATACATATATAAGCTGTTCATCCTTTTTTTTAGTCAGGATTGCAAGTGAAAGGAAATTCTGCCAGCCAGGATAAAGTCAGAAGGCAAAACACATGCCACGAGGCTCCCATTCACTGGCTGAAAATGGACCACAAAATTGATTTTAAGCTTCCTGGTACCCAGTGCAAAATATGAATGTGTTACAGTGTTCTAGGATTTGGGAAACAAATGAGAAAGAACAATTCTCAGTGGAAGCACCAGGTGGTACTTATGTAAGAGGAGGATACAGTCCCTGGAATGCACAGAACAGCTGGGCTTCCTGTGCCATTCATCCTGGCATACCACAAATCCACGTTAACGGAGTGGAATTTGATGCATCAAGCCTGGGAGAAGCCTCTGTGGCTTTTGCTAAATAGCTGATGCCCACCACCTTAGTAAGAAGCTCAGAGCCCTCGAGTGCAGCGCACAGCTTCCGCTTGATCCAGACTGTGACTTATAGCTTGGCAAAGCCAAGAAGTAGGAGAGTTGACTTCCTAGCAGAGGCAATCCTCCTGCCACCATGTTCACTAACAACCCGTCTTCCTCTCTGTTTATTCCCACAGGGGTCTGGCTGAGAACATGGCCAATGGCATTGATGAGCTCATTGGCATCCCCTTCCCCAACCACAGCAGTGAACTCCTTTGCAGCCTCAATGAGCAGCGGCATGCCGGCCTACTGTGTGACGTGCTGCTTGTGGTCCAGGAACAGGAGTACCCCACCCACCGCTCCGTGCTGGCTGCCTGCAGCAAGTACTTTAAGAAGCTCTTCACAGCTGGCAGCCTAACCAGCCAGCCCTACGTCTATGAGATCGACTTCGTCCAGCCTGAGGCCCTGGCCGCCATCCTGGAGTTTGCCTATACCTCCACACTCACCATCACTGCCGCCAATGTCAAACACATCCTCAACGCTGCCAGGATGCTGGAGATCCAGTGCATTGTGAATGTATGCCTGGAGATCATAGAGCCTGGTGGTGATGGTGGTGAGGAGGATGACAAGGAAGATGATGATGATGACGAAGATGATGACGATGAGGAGGATGAAGAGGAGGAGGAGGAGGAAGAGGAGGAGGACGATGATACAGAGGACTTTGCTGACCAAGAAAACTTGCCTGACCCCCAGGACATCAATTGCCACCAAAGCCCCTCCAAAACAGACCATCTCACAGAGAAGGCCTATTCAGACACACCCAGAGACTTCTCCGATTCCTTCCCGGCCGACAGCCCTGGCCATCTGGGGGTGATCCGGGATTTCTCCATTGAATCTCTGCTGAGGGAAAACTTGTACCCCAAAGCTAACATCCCCGACAGACCTAGCTTATCTCCATTCACCCCGGACTTCTTCCCTCACCTCTGGCCAGGGGACTTTGGTGCCTTTGCCCAGTTGCCTGAGCAGTCCATGGACAATGGGCCACTGGATCTAGTCATCAAAAACCGGAAGATCAAGGAAGAGGAGAAGGAAGAGCTTCCCCCACCCCCACCCCCACCCTTCCCTAGTGATTTCTTCAAGGACATGTTCCCTGACCTGCCCGGGGGGCCTCTAGGCCCCATCAAGGCAGAGAACGACTATGGTGCCTATCTCAACTTCCTGAGTGCCACCCACCTGGGGAGTCTCTTTCCACCTTGGCCACTGGTGGAGGAGCGCAAGCTGAAGCCCAAGGCCTCTCAGCAGTGTCCCATCTGCCACAAGGTCATCATGGGGGCTGGGAAGCTGCCGCGGCACATGAGAACCCACACTGGGGAGAAGCCATATATGTGTAACATCTGCGAGGTCCGCTTCACCAGGTGCGCAGACGCAGCTGAGGTGGGGGCGGGGGGGGGGGTAGGGGGGCTGGGCCAGGGCCAGAGGCGTGGTGATGACAGCAGAGAGATATAGCAGTGAGCAGCTGACAGCCCCAGCAGCCCTACAATGCTGCCCTCAGGACATTGTTATTATCCCACAGAGCAGCTGGATCCCACGTTCCTCAGATCCACCTCCCCCTGAACGGTCCATAATAATGGCCCTGCCACATCATGTCCTCTTGGGCAGTGCTACCCCACTTCCTAGCTCCTTTTTTCCCCCCTGAGTTCACTTAGCTTCATGAGGCTGGGTGAGAATGCCTACTAGACAAGGCTTCACTAAAGCACAGAATGCTAGGGAGATAGATAATATGGAGCGCATGTGAGAATCAAGTTCAAGTGTAATTCATTCATCTTCAGCAGAGAGCTTGCTCCAGCCTGAGAGTGCCAGGCCCCCTAAGAATGACCCCACAGATCCAATCCAGATCTGGGCCACTGAATCCACCTGGAGAGCCCTGGCCTGCCTAGCCTGGCTTCTCCTTCCTGGTTTCTTGTGCCTGTCACTCGGTAGACGGTTGACAGTGGGAACTCCCCAGCTGGTGGCTTCGGTGGAATAAACAGCTGAGAGTAACACACAGTGATCCCACCCCTCCAGCCTCCGTGAGGTGCATGCTGGGATCGCCAACATGCAGGCCCCACCTTCACTAGGGAAGTTTTAAACTGGACCAGGCACTGCCCTCTAGACTCTGGAACATTCTCCAGAGGCCTCCTGGTTGGAGCAGCAATGCTGTTTGGTAGGGAGGACAACATTCCAGAAAAGTCCCTCCCAGTGCATTCCTTATGGCCCCTTCAGCAAGCCTCAGTATCTGTGGTCTCCCTACCCCTCTTCCGGCCACCCAGCCATCTGCCATGCCCGCCTGTGGGTTCCTCCCACTCAGTGGGGATGACAGCCATCTGGGTTCCAGGTCTGTCTCCAGCTGCAGCATCTGCCATCCAGCCCCCATCCCCACCTCCCTTCACTTGGTTCCCACTGGGCTCTGACCCTCCGGAACAAGATCAGATAAGCTTTGGGGGCTCCTCTCCAGAGGCAGAGAAAGCCCAGGGTCAGAGGGCAGGAGGAGTGGAGGAGATTTTTCTGGCCTGATTCCCATCATAGACTTCATTTCTCACTATGGGCTGTGGCTGTCAGGATGAGTGCTCCGTTCCTCCTCCCTGTTACATTCTTCAGAACCACTGGCCCTTTCTTTCCTCTCCCCCACAGGGGAGGGAAAGGTGAGCTACCCAGCAAGAGTATCCAGCGATGCTCAGCCCTGGCCTAGGGCTGAGGTTTCCCTGTCACTCTCTGTAGCCAAGTCTTCCAGCAGCCATTCCACTGGGGCCTGCTGTTTGGCTGAGTCCCCCTGCCATGATGCATTATGCTTTCCCTTTTCCCCACCTAGAGGCTCTTCAGCAGGAGTGGCTGAGTGGCTGAGATACTCTGCCCACAGATGTCCTCTAAGATACAATTCCTCCAGCTGCAGCCTGACTCCTTCCTGATTCATAGAGAAGCTCCTGTCTCTGCAGTGGTCCGTAGGCTCAGGCCCTGGGTCTTACACCTCCTGTATGTCCATTCTCAGACTGTCCATGCCTGCCTCACACAGGAAGTGGAAGCTGCAGTGAGAAGTAGCCTCACACAGGAAGTGGAAGCTGCAGTGAGAAGTAGCTGGCCCCAAAGACAACAAAGGTGCCACGGAGGACATACCCGTGGGGAAAGGATGGACAGCTTCTATTGTCTCACAACCCACCTGGTGATGAGCCATGATGCCACCAATGGGGGCAGAATCACCTGCAAACATCCCAAGAGCTACAACTTTTAGTCTAGGGCCCCACTCTCAATGTCAGCCAAATGATGATAGCCCCCTCTTCCTCATCAGATGCCCGCTTTACCCACAAGACCAAGAGCTCAGCTTTCTCTTCTTTATTTTCTTCCCAGTCTGGCCCTCCCAACAGCTCTGGGAACCTTGGCCAAGATCATGTAGCAGGAAGAGTCATTTCAGGTCATCAGGTCACAAGAAGCCTGAGTGGAAGGGGCTAGAAGACTCCCTTCCAGCCTCTCTGGGAACCACAACCCAGGCCTGGGGGTCTGCTCATTCCCCGCAGTGTGATCTCTGAGCTAGGAGAAGGACTGCAAAGCAGCCTCGTGTGCACATGGCCATGGCTGGGTCTGGAGGCCAGGAGATGGCATGAGCTGGCAGATATGGGGAGGAGATAAGGTCAAAGCAAACACATTAGTGTTAGAATTGTGGAGTTTTGAAATTGGCCCTGCTGGCCATTGGTCAATCCAAAACATGACATATGCAGCTGCTCTACATACGTTTGATGCTGTGCACCATGTAGAGGATAAAAGAACACTAGAGCCAGGTGCCTATAATCCTAGCTACTCAAGAGGCTGTAATCTGAGGATCACAGTTCCAAGCCAGTACAGGCAAGAAAAATCCATAGACTCATCCCCAATTAACCACCACCAAAAAAAGAAGAAAGGCTAGAAATGGAATGCTAGTGGAATAGCACTATCCTTGAGAAACAAAGCAAAGGAATAACACTCAAGCCCTGAGTTCAAGTCCCAATACTAGAAAAAAAATAAAGAGGACTGGTCATAGTGGCAGGTACCACCCCCCCTCCATGCCCCATGCTGGAGGAGGGCAACAGAATGCACCATGCTGAATAGCTGTCACTAAATGAATGAACACACAGAGGTTGGGTACTTTGGGAGGAGCACCAGAGTGGTCATGACACCCAGGTTCAGACCCTGCTGTGTCTCTGCCTAGCTATGTGACCTGGGTGATGTCTTCTGCCCTCTATGAGCCTCAGTATCCAGGTGGAATTTGAGTGGAGGAGAGGGAGGGATGATTCCTAAGGTGCCTGGCTCATGTAAGCACTGAGCCTGCTGCATGAGGGACAAGGGCACACACAATGGCCCTTGCCTGGGAAATGCCTCACCTGCCAGGTGAGGACCTGGAGGGTCCAAGCAGGACTGCAGACAATGCAGATGGAGAGTCCCTTAGGGACTAGGCGGGCTGGGAGAACATTGCTCACAGATATGGGAGCCCTAGGAAACAGAAGATTGGTGGGTGTGGTAGAGCTGGTCAAGTGTGTGCCAGCTTCAGGTCCTCCTCTCCCTGCCCATCCTGCTCCCCACCTTCCTGGACCCTCCAGTCCTCAGTGAACTCTCGTGGGAGGGCTGATTCCTTTCCAGTCTCCTGCCACCAACACAGTGTTCACAAGAATGCCCTTCTTTCTTCTGCCTGGCCCTGGGGACTGTTTTGGAAATGAGCGCCAGTGAGACCTCTAGTGGCCGCCGGGCCCCACAGCAGCTCCTGTATGCTGAGCATGGTTTGAATCTGGTCATTTTAGGAAGGACACACCAACTTGGGCCTCAAATTGGAGACTGCAATTATAGGCAGAGACTCCACCCAAGCCTGTGGAGATGGGACTCGGACCCCTCCCACTTCTGGTCAGTTGGGGAAAGCTAGAGAAGGATGGTGGGAGGATTCCCTGCCACCTGCCCCCTCCACCCAAGGCAGATTGAAAGGCTCTATAGACTGGATTAGTGAGCTTTCGGGCCTTAAAACAGCAAACCCAGGAAGTCATTTTCCTTTCAAGACCACCAGGAGCGACACAGACTCAGCTCATACAAGCCCAAACTCCCCATCAGCTCTGGAAAGTTCAGCCATGGGAGAGCCCTTGCAAAACCTACCTAAGATTACCCCTGCAAGCTGGTGGTGCATCTGCAGCTGGAGCAGGGGCCCCCGGACCCTCACAGGAGTCCCACCCAGTACTGTGCCTTACCTGGAAATAATACTCTTAAACCCCTAAGAGCTTCATCCTGGATTAGCTGCATTCCTGTTGCACCTGGCTCTTTTGTAAACCCTGAAATTGTCTGCAGACAAAAAGGGCTCTGGGTAAGAAACCACAGAGCTGGAGGCTTGAAGGTGTGCCCTGCCTCTAGAGCACTCAAATTAGTGCAGAGGACAAGCGGCTCCCAACAGCCAGGGACCGGGGTGAGATCAGGGGCTGTGAACAAAACACCCAGGATGAACCCAAAGGGAAGCCTGTCACCTGGAGAGAGAAAGTATGAGATGAAAGTACAGTCAGTCAGTCAGAAGTGTCTGTAGGGTCAGAGAGTGAGGAGGGTCAGAATGGTGACTTCTAGGGACATAATTCTCCAGCAAGCCTATTTCCTAGGAGGGGAGACAGACAGACCCCGGTTTACACAAGAGGGGTTCATTACTCAGAGTTTGTATGTGAAGGAAGTTTGGTGTGTGTTGGGGGAGGGGAGGGATTGTGCCTTCTGCCTCTCCCTAATTCAGCTGCGGGACCACACCTGTTTGGGGTGGGGCAGAAGTCGAGGTAGATCTTAGATGGAGATCCCCATCCAGAAGCGGGGCTCTGGGGAGCCTTCGGTTCCTGAGGAAGAGAGAAGGGAAGGTGAGAAGCGGGCTTTTCCGCGCAGAGATTGACTCTCGGCTCTCGCCTTGCAGGCAGGACAAACTCAAGATCCACATGCGGAAGCACACGGGGGAGCGGCCCTACCTGTGCATCCACTGCAACGCCAAGTTCGTGCACAACTACGACCTCAAGAACCACATGCGCATCCACACGGGCGTGCGCCCCTACCAGTGCGAGTTCTGCTACAAGAGCTTCACGCGCTCCGACCACCTGCACCGCCACATCAAGCGCCAGAGCTGTCGCATGGCCCGGCCCCGGCGTGGTCGCAAGCCCGCCGCCTGGAGAGCCACCAGCCTGCTCTTTGGGCCCGCGGAGCCCCCACCCGACAAGGCGGCCTTTGTGATGCCCCCCGCGCTGGGCGACGTGGGCGGCCACTTGGGCGGCGCAGCCATGTGCCTCCCAGGCCCCAGCCCTGCCAAGCACTTCCTGGCAGCCCCCAAGGGTGCCCTGAGCCTGCAGGAGCTGGAGCGCCAGTTCGAGGAGACGCAGATGAAGCTGTTCGGGCGCGCGCAGATGGAGGCAGAAAGGAACGCGGGTGGCCTCCTGGCCTTGGCCTTGGCCGAGAACGTGGCCGCCGCGCGGCCCTACTTTCCGCTGCCCGACCCCTGGGCCGCAGGCCTGGCCGGCCTTCCCGGGCTCGCCGGCCTGAATCACGTGGCCTCCTTGTCTGAAGCCAACAACTAGACTGGCCCTGGTAGACCCCAGTCCTTGGCCCTGCCCCCTGCTCCCTGCCCTCCCCCTCTCCCAGGCCCACTCTGCACTCCCTCCAGTGGGTTTGAACTTTGTATTTTGCAAACACAAAGGGAAATGAATATATATATATATATATATATATAGTAGCAGCAAATGACGTTTCCTAGGCCTGCCTTTTGCCAGTGTCTGAACTGGCATCTCTTCCCAAAGGGGCCTGGAGCTGGCCGGATTCTCTCCCTGCCTGGCACAATGGAGGGCCTCACACTGGGTGCCAAGTGTGCTATGAAGCCTTGTGGGGCTCTAGGACAGGGCTTGCTTGGCCAGTGGGCTGCTCAGATGGAGCAAGAGTAAGGCTGGGCCTGAGCACATACCTTGGTGGACCCCACAGTGTTGGGGGGGAGCCCCTCCCAACACAGCTTTTTAGGGGTCTTTTGCTGATCTCCAGAAACCCTGAGGTTCCTTTGGACAGTGCTCAAATGCCACATAGAAAGACATAATCTGATTGACAAGGACACCTCTTGGAGCCAGGAGCCAGACTATTTGGAGTCTGGACCCATTTTTAATTTACTCACCCTGTGATCTTGGACAGGTCAGCTCTCCGTGCCTCTGTGTCCCCCCTCCCCATTCTTTTTTTTCCCCCTCCCCATTCTGTGAAAGGAGGTGGTGGTTTAGATTTCCCTCTCCTCCCCTTCACCTCCACACATACTAACAACGTATCCCTCCAAAGAGGAGCCTTAGAGAGTAGTGACTTACGTACCTCTAAAATCTCTGGGGAAACAGCTGATCTTACTGGACTTAATTTTTTTTATCACCACCACACAAATTAGCAAAGATGAGAAATGTGCCAAACTAGACAAGGATGACAGACAGGCAGAGCTCCAAATACCACCTGTCCCCACCCCCCAAGAGCCCTAGTCAGTCTCTGCCCCATGTTCACATGCCCTCTCTGAGCTCTGTGGTCAACGTGGACTGAGGCTGCCAGTCTGAACACCTGGCAGCATCGTCCCTTCCTAGTTCTTGAAATGCAGACCTGGCCTAGTCACCCAGGGGCCTCTGGAGTCGGAGGGTTCTCCAGTTCTCAGCTTTGCTGGTGACTGCCTACTTTGCTGTGTTTGAGCAAAGCACTACCTTCCTTTATAATCCAGCACTGAGGCTAAGGTATTTGGCTCCCTTTCTTTTGACAAAGGGGCTGGGTATGGAAGGGGTGGGGTGGGGGACCTCTGTGTTTGTTGGGCTGTGAGAATTGAGATGCCACATGATTTTCTAGTTCTATGGTTAGTGACAGATGCTGGGCAAGAAGAGAGATTCTCTGCCTGGCTTCTCCCTGATAGCTCTTCCTTTTCATTCCCCCTTTCTTCTTCCTGCTGACTTTGCTTTGGTTTCTCAGTAGCCCAGAGAGGTGTGTACATCTGCCTGGATGGTCCAGAAATGGGAGTCCTGACCTCCCAAGCCGTGGGCCCAAGAGACTTGGTTCTTCCTATCGCCTTGGCTTTCTCCTGAGGAAAAAAAAAAGAACAAAAACAAAAAGGCCAGAGAAGACCACAGACTCTGCCCATCTCGTAACTCTCCAGAAGAGACTCCCTGCCTCTTCACGCCAGCCAGGAGACACCTGCCCTCAGCGGTCATCTGCCCGGACAACTGCCTCTCAGATCCCTGTCCCCATTTCAGACATAACTTTTGGGACCCATCAGCGAACACACTCATGTTCTCCATCAGTCAAGGGACTGGGGCCAAACCAAACATCAAATGAACAAATGAACTACGTGGAATCATGGTGTTGGGCTTTTGTTTTTATTTTGTAAAGGTAATGACTTCTTATAAACTCAATTTTTCAGATGACTGGTTAGTTCTTTTCGTTTCTTCTTGGCTGCAGTTTAGAGCTGTACATTGTAAAATATCCAAAGATATCAAGTACTGTATGATCATGAACTTGAAGCAATTGGGCCGGTGGGAGGGAGAGGGGAGGTGGTGTTTTGTTTGGTTTCAATTTTTTTTTCCTGGATGTCCTGATTTCCCTGTCGGTCTATAGGAGAACTTGGGGATTTTTTTTCTATTTATAACTTTTTATGTGATCGCTCTATGTATTATGACACTCAGCAAAGTTTGCCTTAGTGATTCAAGGGACAATCTTCCATAACTTTGGTTGCACGCTGCATCCTACTGAGAGACTCTCAGCTAATTTTCTGGCCTATTTATTAAACAGTATTAATTGACTTGAAATGAAATGATATTGAGCATTGCACTTCTGTGAGATGTCACTACTGGAAGTTCATAGGACTGTGGAAGATTTAGACTATTTGGTGTCATATACTTTAAAATAATGTCAACGGCAGGACACTTTTACCAAGCACAAAGATTTGACCCTGATTTAATCATTTAAAGGAGAGAAGGGTTGTTTTGTTTGTTCATTTGGGTTTTGTTTTTGTTTTTTTGAGACAGTGTCAGCTATGTAATCCAGACTAGCCTCAAAATTTCTGTCCGCCTGGGGCTGGGAAGGTGGCTCAGTGGTAGAGCACTTGCCTTGCATGCATGAGGCCCTGGGTTTGATTCTTCAGCACCACATAAGCAAAAAGAAAAAAGCCGAAGTGGTGCTGTGGCTCAAGTGGTAGAGCACTAGCCTTGAGCTGAAGAGCTGAGGGACAGCGCCTAAGCCCAGAGTTCAGGCCCCACGACCGGACCCAAAAATCAAACAAACAAAAAATTTTTGACCTCCTGCCTCAGCCTCCTGAGGCTGGAATTATAAGCATGTGCAATAACACCTAGAGTGAAGGATAGTGTTTTGAGTAAAAATGAGTTCCATTTGCCTGATGCCCTGCTTTAGGTTGATCTCCATATTCCTGTTATTTAACGTGTCTGATGGTCTTGTGTGATTGAGGAGACTAGAGCTCAATTCTTTCTTTCCTTTTTTTATCTTTCTCTCTCTTTTTTTTTGTATGCCAGTACTGGGGCTTGAACTCAGGGCTAATGCTCTACTACTTGAGCCACAGCGCCACTTCTAGCTTTTTGCTAAATTAATTAGAGATAAGAGTCTCATGGACTATCCTTCCCTAGGCTGGCTTCAAACCAGGATCCTTAGCTCTCAGCCTCCTAAGATTACTAGCTAGGATTACATGTGTGAACCACTGGACCCTGGCTCAGAACTCAACTCTTACTAATCTCTTACATTGTAGCTTTGTGAGGCTCGGTTTAATTCTAAGCTTTCAAAAGTCTGGGAGCCCGTGTGTGTGTGTGTGTGTGTCTGTCTGTCTGTCTGTCTGTCTGTGTCTGTCTGTGTCTGTGTCTGTCTGTCTGTCTGTGTCTGTCTATGTCTGTGTCTGTCTATGTCTGTGTCTGTCTATGTCTGTGTCTGTCTATGTCTGTGTGTCTGTGTGTGTAGAGCCTGTGATGTGTGAGAAGGGGATAGTCCTGAGTTGCTGGCTGATGCCCCATTGCCAGTTCTCCCTGGAGATCTCCAGTGGCTTCTAGATGGCCTTGCCACCATTTTGGGTGCTGGCCTGCTTCCTCCACTCCCTGATGTGGAGCTGGGCTTCTTTCCTTTTATCATTTGAGCCTCTTTCAGACTACCCCGGTTCTCAGGGTAAATTAACTCCTTGGCCTGCAATTATTTTTTGGATAGGCAGGGGTTCACCAAGAGCCCCATTTTCATTTTTAATCCCTGTCTTGCTGTGGTAGAACCTTTATATGCAGCAGCAGTTCTTAGTACAAGGAAAAGAAGAGATCTGGGGTTTGAATAGAGATTCCCCCGATCTATGTGCTCTCAGACTAGTTACTTGCCCACTCTGGTCCTCACCTTCCTGACCTCTTCAAAGAACTTCTCTCACATTTTCCACTCAAATGTGTCTGCATGTGAGGCATCTGAGCATTTGAGGGCCTGTCTAGGAGACAGCCTAGGGTCGGGAGTGGAAGGGAATAGTCAGGCAGCCTTCCTGCAGGGGAAGGCTGTGTGAAACAGTCTCTGTTCTTCTGACATTAACAGCTCCTCACTCTCTTACATCACATTTATGAAGTGTCTTAACATCAACATGTCTTGAGCCACTGGCTGGGGGAATGACTTGCCTTCTTCCCAGAATCTTCTAGTGATGTCAATCAAAATAGTCCTTGGCAACCCAGTAGCTTTGGGAAGTCCCAGCTCATGACAAGCACAGCCCGGGCGAGGAGAGAAGCCCAGGCTGCAGCATCGCACAAGCTCAGGCACTCGGGGATCCTTTGGTCCTTAGTAGCATCCTCTGGAAGGTCTAGGTGATCATGGAGAAGGGGGGAGCTATGCCCCAATCTCCAACTGCATCTGAACTCTTCAGGTAGGTTAAATCTCCTAGCCCCAGCTAGGTGAGAATTCTGTGGAGCCGCAGCAAGTGTGGTGTGCTCAGATGGGTGTCAAGTGGATTGGGGTGTTGACAACAAAGCACCTTTGGGAGGGAAGAAGGAAGACAGGAAGGAAGTCAAGGGCTCTGCCGTGTCTACAGCATTAGGTGTCAGCTACACAGAAGTTGCAAGTAGGAGAATCTCAGCATAAGGCTGGCCCCAAACACAAAACTGTAAGGCCCTTCAATAACCAATAAAAAAAAGCTGGACGTGGTGGTTTAAGCCTGTCATCCAGTAATGGAATGGTTGGGGATGCATGAAATGCTATTGGAAATATAACTAAAGCAAAAAGGGCAAGGGACATTACTTAAGTGATAGGGTGCCCAAGGCCCTGAGTTCGAATCCCAAAACAACAGGTCCTGGGGCTTCTACAAGCATGAGAGACAATGGAAGGATTTTGCCAGCTCAAACCAATAAAGAGATTCCAGCCTCCGGGAGGGGCAGTATCAGAAGAGGGCACAGAAGGGTGCTCCTTCCTTTGAGTGCCAGGTGGGCCTGGGCTCTACTGGGGTACAAGGAGCAGAGTAGGAGAGGTCACTGCCTCAAGCACCTGGGCCAGGAGCAAGGCGAGGAGCTTTGGGACATCTTAGGCCTGCAGAGACACCAATGTCCTGAGACAGATTATGAGACAGACTCAGAGATGTTGGTGACGGTGACCTCTCCCCTTCCAATTCCAAGTCCTCCCCCCATGTCCTCCTCCTTGATGCTCCTGGTATCCTCCCTACCCCTTGTGGAATGAGGCCCTGACCCTTA